TGAATTTTCACTCGCTTTTATTTGTTTTACTTCTAATCCGAAATACTTTGAACTTTTTTTGTTTTGGTTGGTTGTTCTCTCAATAAAAACAAAACCAACTATTTATAATATTATTATAATTTTGGTTACCATTTCTGACCAACAGTGCTATATAAATAATAAAGAGAACTAGTTTTTTTCTTAATTTAAAAATTAGGAACCGGTTTTTTTTAAGTATAATTTTTCAAATAATTATAAAACTGGGTTCGAAAAAATTTCGAATAATCGAACACCCTAATACATGCATTTCAAACTGCGCCCTGGAATCGGCTAAATAATAATTCAAAATTTATTTCTCTTTATCTGCAGGTCATCGAAGGTTTTCGCACAGGCGAATGCAATTTACTTGTTTGTTCGAATGTCCTCGAGGAAGGTATTGATATTCAGGCATGCAATTATGTATTCGCCTATGATCCATTAAAAACCTTCAATTCTTATGTGCAAACGAAGGGGCGCGCCCGTAGTAATGAATCGCTGTATGCTATATTTGCGCCAGATATTAATAAAGCAAAAGTTATTACGCAAATTCAAAACTATAAAGCCGCACATCAAATGATACAGGAATTCCTGATTGGACGAATTTTGGATCGAGATGATCCTAAAGAAGAAGCCATAGCCGAACAATTTGTGGATCTTATTCCACCTTTTTTGCTGCCGAGCGGTGCCTGCCTATTGGCGTCGGGTGCATTAGCATTGTTACATCGCTATTGTCAACTGTTGCCTACTGATGCGTTTGGTGCCGCCATGCCTTGGTTTACTAAAAAAACAACGGAATCAGGAATATTTGTGGAGTTACGGATGCCGCTGCAATCTTCAGTGAAAGATACAATAACGGTGAGTAAATTTGAAGCTATTCTACGAAAATTAGCTTTTTTTTTAGCAAAAGAAGTGTGTTAAAGTAGTACATAAATTATTTTCGTTTTAACTATAATTGCAGAGCGACATTTACCCGACTTCTAAACAGGCAAAAATTTCTGCTGCATTTAAAGTGTGTAAACTGCTTTACGAACAAGGAGAGCTAAATGATCGTTTGTTGCCCGTGACGAAGCGAGAATGTGTGGCAAAAGTGTCCGAAGATCTTTTCGAACATTGGAAAAAATTTAATGATGACGGTAAGGTTTTCCAGTTAGTGGCTTTGTATTTTATTTTATTTTATTTTTGTGGCGTTGAAAATGCTAGTCGATGGCATTTTCATTACTTGATACAAATCTATGCTATTCGAAATATTATCTGTACGAGGCGGAACTACAGCCGGTTCTACGCACCGGAATGACTCGGGGG